CGAGCCGGGGTTCTGCTGGGCCTGCCCAGCGGGGTCTGCTCCCAGCGCCCGCCTGGCAGGCACGTGAGCGCGGGTCAGGCGTTTCTGGGGAACGGAATGCGCCCTTTAAATCCCTCAGCGCTCCGGCTTCGCACTTGGCCACACACAGTGAATTACATGGGTTTCCCGTCGCCAGCTCTTTCCAAGGACCTGGACGATCACATCCTTGAGCTTACAGACCCGGGCCTGGGCCTGGCCGGCCGCTGAGCCCGGACTTAGGGGATGTGGATGGTTCCGAGGAAGAGAGAACAGAAGGTTGTTAGTTAGCACTGTGGGCAGCAGCTCTGTCCTGAATACAAGGCAGTTCCTTGTCGCCTAAACCACGTGGGAAAGGCCACCCCTGGGGCTTGCCTCCAGGCCCCAGGGTCAGGCCCCAGGTGGGGGTGCTGGGGCCGGGGAGATGGCCTGCAGCTGGGATGCCCACTCTCACGTGGTGGCTGGTGAGGAGTCAGTCTCGCTGGAAACAGCGGAGGTGAAAGCTCTCGGGGGCCTCACAGGACAGGGAACATCTGCCGTTACTGCAGATGGCGTTTGCAGACACGCGCGTGCGGTGGTTCACGCCCGTGTAAGGGGGTGATTTAGGAATCTCCGTTCCTCACGGTTTGCTGCGCCGACGAAAAGCCAGGGCTGATACTAACTGGTCTTTGAGAAGGTCCCAACCGCCTGGGGCTTGGCCGAGGTCTGCGGGCGTCAGGAGTGATGGGGCAGAGGGAGACCCAGCGGTACCCGCACCTGAGACACCTGGGACAGGTGTTTTTGTGTTTCTTTTTAAATATTTTTATTGATTTCAGAGAGGCAGGGAGAGGGAGAAAGAGAGAGAGAAACATCCATGAGGAGAGAGAATCATGGATCGGCTGCCTCCTGCTCGCCCCCTACTGGGGACCGCAACCCGGGCATGTGCCCCGACCTCCTGGTTCATAGGTCGATGCTCAACCACCGAGCCACGCCGGCCGGGCCTGGGACAGGTGTTGAGCTGGAGGCCCGGTGGTCAGATGTGTGTTTTGGAAAAATCACAGAGGTGGTGTGGCAGGGAGCAGCCGGCCGGCTGGAGAAGCCACTGACGGCCTCGCCCTGCGTCTGAGAGGGGCTGCCGTACGGCAGGGCGGGGGCACTTCATGGGTGAGGGCTCAGCTTGGTGAGAGTGGGTCACGGGGGCGGGGGGAAGGGGTGTTTCCATTGGTGAGGGGTGCACCTGGGTGGGACCAGTGCCAGGGCCCTGGGGCAGAGCCAGGAGCCGCCTCAGGACTCCCACGGGGGTGTCTGGGCACCTTGCAGCGTCAGGGAGACAGGAGTGTAGTTGGACACAGTGGTCTGGGCTGCAAGTGGGGACGTGGGCGTCACCCGCCCGGGGGTGAGAACCTCGTGCGCTGGGTGGATTTTCCGCTGGTTGGATTTTCCAGAGTTTTGGTTCCGGATTTTGTCTTTGTTGCCAACTGCTCCCCCCACCCCCACCCCCAGGCACCAGCAAAAGTCAGGACACACGTCCCTGGGTCTGGGAAGGGGGACACGGGTGCTCCTCCCTGGTCATGGGGGAAAGGGGGGCACACAGACACGTGTCCCTAGTCCTGGAGGGACCGCACGTCAAAGGCACGTACCTCGGTTGCAGGCTCCTCCCCGGCCCAGGCCCTGGTCGGGGCTCGTGCAGGAGGCAACCAGTTGATGTCTCTCTCACAGTGATGTCTCTGTCTCTCCCTCTCTCTTCCACTCTCCCTAAGAATCAATGAAAAAATATCCTACGGTGAGGATTAAAAAAAAAAAGGATCAACCAATGAATCGTCAATAAGTGGAACCACAAATGGATGTTTTTCTCTCTCTAAAGAAAATCAATAAAAAAAGAAAAAGGAGGCCTTTCTGGTGTCCCGTTTGGCAGCGAGGGGCCCCGAGGTGCAGATAACCTTGCAGTTTGCTCGTAACTCGTGGTGCTTTCTCTCCGGCTGACCTAGTGAGCGGGCGGCGGCAGGCCATGCATCTGGAGAAGGAAGGCGGCCGGCTGAGCTCCGGCAAGCTGGAGGTGGAGCTCCATCAGACGTCCGCTTCCCCGCGTGCTGGCCTGGGACT